AAACTGGGCAACTCTTTCCCTGGGCCCTCTGGATTCCCTTTTTATTCTTGATCACATCCCTCTTTCATCGTGAACTGAATGCAGAATATATGCATATTTATTATTAATTCATCGGTTCTATAAGGACGGTAATTTACCGAAAACGCACGCATGGGGTTGGAATCGAATGGATCCATAAGCGGAATATGAAATGATTTTTAACTCGTTATTTACTAGCCGTTGAATACATTATTATTTTTTAAACTTACCTTTGACACATTCATCTCTCCCAAAGTATCTATACCTCAGTTTCTGGTGAATGACTGCTGAAAAACCACTACTTCCCTGGCTAATACTACGCTGGACATTAAGTTACATCCGACAGACATTTATGCAAGATTCCTCACAGTGGTTAGTCTTGCAGATTCTCTTTCATCCAGCAGCAGGTCCATGGTGGAATCAGTCGAGGAGATCAATACAGACTGGTTTCCATATTTAACCTTTCGTCAGTGCAGGAAAGATCCGACATAAACAGCAGTGTAACTGGGCTCGATTGATTTAAACGCGACTCTACTGCATGCATGAAATATTCGTCTGAGAGAAAAAGTTTGTGACTATTGATAGTTCTTTTGAACAAAGCCCCAAGCGGGAAAGAAACATCACGGGTATCAATACTCTCAAAGGTTACATTGACTGTCGATTTGACGATTCATCGGATGGCAACAACCGTTATCATGTTATCAAACGATAAAATCGTTATGAGAGGTACTATGACTTCAGTTGTGGTTTCACTAAGGATACGAGAAATAAGTTGGAGCAGAAGACAACCAAATTCCTACTTTGGAAGGAGGCTTTCTGTTGGTAATAAGAGTAGGGGAGAGGGGGGCAAGTTGTTACAGGGGCAAGTTGTTACGCAATCATTTTAAAACGCAGCAAGTATAATGGGTTGCCGATATTTTACGGAAAACAGGCTCTGCCTACCCGCGATCTGTGAACGGATACTAATACTCAATCAAGGCATCCGTCGTCGTGTTATTGCGTAGAATGTGGTTTTGGGTCTGAAACTGTACCGTTGTCAGTTGGCTTTTGTTTCCATTTGTGAGAAATTGGTAAGTAGTATAAATATGTGTATTATATAGTTTTGAAGCGTAGATATTTCTCGTTCTTGGCATGCTGTTGCTAGTAATTGATTCCCAATATTTACCAAAAAACGTCGACCTAACCTCATTTCGTTCACATGGGGCCAGTTGTTACAACAATCTGGGGGAAAGTTGTTACTCTAACAACTGACAACCTGACACTTCGATGCAAACATATGTCGAAATACCTACAATTCAAGGTTATTATGATTTATGACTCCACTAAAAATTCAAATATGATCAGAAATATTTTGTAGATAGTAATTTGTTTGTAATTGATAGCATACATTTATTTTCGCACAGCATGTCACCAAACACAGAATATTATTAAATTTTTCTATTATTGAATTGTTTTGGTTGTTTTCAGATTGCTCAATATGGTGCGAACGTACAACAAGAAAACCACAAGGGGTATTATTCCAACGGAACAATTTGAAAGGGCAGCGCAATCAGTTTTACAAGAACACTTGTCAATTAGGGATGCTGCTACTCGCGGTGAAGTTAATTTCATGACATTGCACCGCTATATGAATAGAAAATCAAAGTTAGGCGTTGAAAACAGTAACAAGAGCTTGGACGGTTACGCTACGGCCAGAAAAATATTTAACAATGCTGAAGAAGAGGAACTTGCCGCATATACCGAGCATTCTGCTAAAATTTATTACGGTCTTACAACTTCTAATTTACGAAAATTTGCATTCCAGTATGCAACAGCAAACAAAATATCTGTTCAGGAAAATTGTAAGGTCAATGAAATAGCTTCCAGAGATTGGTTATTTGGATTTTTAAAGAGGCATCGAACTTTATCTGTCCGAACACCTGAAGCTACTAGTATGGGTAGAGCCACCGCGTTTAATCGCCATAATGTGTCGCAGTTTTTTAATAACTTTGGCAAAGTTTATGATAAATATAAATTCGAGCTCCAAGAAGTCTATAATATGGATGAAACTGGACTTACAACTGTCCAAAGGCCCACAAAAATCATTGCCAAAAGGGGAACTAAGCAGGTAGGCGCCATCACATCTGGAGAAAGGGGTCAACTTGTTACTTCGGCATCAGTTGTCAACGCAAATGGCAATTCTGTGCCTCCATTTTTGATATTTCCAAGAAAAGAATTCAAAGATTTTATGGTAGCCAATGGACCTCCTGTTTGTGTAGGTGCGTCTCATTTCTCTGGATGGATGACATGTGATAAATTTCTGTTGTTTATGAAACATTTGGTCCACTTTGTACGATGTAGCAAAGAGAAACCCGTTTTGATGGTGTTGGATAATCACGAGTCGCATTTGTCTATATCTGTGTTGAATTTCTGCAAAGAAAATGGAGTGATTCTTTTAAGTTTCCCGCCACATACGTCGCACAAATTGCAACCACTTGAAAGAATGGTATTTGGCCCACTCAAAAGACATTTCAACAGTGCTGCAGATGCATGGTTAAGATTTAATCCCAGTAAAGTATTGAACATTTACGACATACCTACCATTCTCGAAGATGCATTTCCTCTTGCTGTTACACCTCTTAATATACAGAAAGGATTCAGTGTGACAGGAATTTGGCCGAACAACATTGAAATATTTCATGATGATGAATTCTTGCCTGCAGAGGTAACAAATAGGCCAATAACAGAAAATATAAACGCAAGAGTAGACATAGATCCCTCACCTATTGGCACTGAGAGACATAGGACTCCTTCTCCACATCAACCTTTTACAAGCACATATATAAACTTGGCGCAAAATGAACCTGTTGATTTGGCACCTACTCATTTAACGCCCCAAGAGGTGGAACCTTATCCAAAAGCAATGCCAAGAAAATCAAAAAAGTTCGGAAGAAAAGAACTTCCGCTGTATTGACTGATACTCCTATTAAAGCAGCTCTAGAAGAGGAACAAACAGAAAGACAAAGAAAAAGAAATGTGGGGGCAACCAAAAGAAACATATCAGGTGAATCAAAAAGCAGCGTGAAGAGTACTTTGAAAAAATGCAAGAAACGTAACACCATCACACTTTCGAAAAATCAAATTCTGAAAGCTCGGAAGGGGATGAGGAATCGGCGTGTCTGGTATGTTTAGCTCCATTTTCGCAGTCTAAAATCGGAAAATGAATTCAGTGCATTGTGTGTAAAAAATTGGCACATATTGGTTGTGGAAAAGACGACGATTTTTGCACTTGTATTCACTGCTCGTCCGATAGCGACTAGTTTAATATTCTTGTTAACAGGTTTGTTCAGATTGTTATTTTTCATTTCATTGCATTTTGTGTTACTTTTATTATATTTTTT